AAAAAGATGCCTCCTTCTTGGCCACAAAGATGGTGTCAAGGGATATTTATTGATGGACTTAAATACTAAGGAAATCTTCATTTCCAGAAATGTGGTTTTCTATGAAACCATATTTCCCTATTCTCCATCATGCATACCCCCTGCTTCTAATAATGATCTTTGCAGCCCTTGTCTCCCATGTACCACCAATCATGCTGATCTCAACCCTGAAGCTTCAAGTCAGCATCCTGCTCAACAACAACATATTCCCGTACCTTCCAATACAGCTGAAAACCCTCAAACAAATCTTCCCTTTCGGGTTTCCACCAGACAAAGACATCCTCCCAACTATCTACGAGACTATCATTGTAATATAGTAAATCATCATGCCCCTTTAACTCATTCTACTTCTGTTCCTCATAGCTTATCTGCTTTTCTTTCTTATAATCGACTATCCCCTTCTTATAAATCATTTGTATTATCTTTGACTTCCTCTGCTGACCCTCAATCCTATAACCAAGCCATTCGGCATGCCTGTTGGAAAGATGCCATGGATAAAGAAATTATAGCTCTTGAACAAAATCAGTCTTGGATTTTAACTGACTTGCCTCAAGGAAAGCACCCCATTGGTTGCAAATGGATTTATAAAATTAAACATAAGGCTGATGGTTCTATTGAAAGATATAAAGCCCGACTTGTTGCCAAGGGATACAATCAACAAGAGGGAGTAGATTTCTTTGACACTTTTTCACCTGTTGTTAAGCACACCACAATTAGATTAATCTTAGCCATAGCTGCTGTCAAACAATGGCATCTACATCAATTAGACGTAAATAATGCTTTTCTCCATGGGGACTTGAAAGAAGAAGTCTACATGACTATTCCTAAAGGTTTTAAATCTACAAAACCAAATCAGGTTTGCAAGCTAACTAAATCTCTTTATGGCCTTAAGCAAGCTAGCCGCCAATGGAATCATAAGCTTACTTCTGCCCTTCTTGAAATGGGTTATCAACAGTCAAAATCTGATTACTCTCTGTTTGTTAAATTTGTTGATTCACACATTACTGTTTTGCTAGTCTATGTGGACGATTTAGTTCTTGCAGGTGATGATATCAATGAAATCAATGCTGTCAAGTCAATTTTGGATGCAAAATTTAAAATCAAAGACCTTGGACCATTAAGGTTCTTTCTTGGTTTAGAAGTAGCAAGATCGTCCAAAGGCATCTTCCTCACACAAAGAAAGTATGCATTGGAACTACTTGATGATGCTGGCCTCTTGGGATGCAAACCAGTAACTTCTCCTATGATTCCCAATCTCAAATTGGTCAAAGACAATGGTGTTCCGTATTCTGATCCTAAGTCTTATCGCAGGTTAATCGGTCGTCTCATTTATCTAACTAACACACGACCTGACTTAAGTTTCTCTGTTAGCAGGTTAAGCCAATTTGTTTCCAATCCTATGAAGGACCACTATGATGCTGCTATTCGCGTCTTACAGTACGTCAAAGGAGCTCCTGGTCGAGGCCTTTTCTTTTCCTCCAGTTCTGATCTGCAACTATCGGCCTTTAGTGATTCTGATTGGGCATCTTGCCCAGATTCAAGGAAATCCATCACCGGATTCTCTATCTTCTTTGGCTCATCTCTCATTTCATGGAAATCTAGGAAACAACAAACTGTGTCACGTTCCTCCTCTGAAGCAGAGTACCGAGCTCTAGCTACAACTGTTTGTGAGCTCCAATGGCTCATTTATTTGTTGCAGGACCTGCATTTTCCCATCACCAAGGCTGTTCCATTATATTGTGACAACAAATCAGCCATTCAAATTGCACAAAATCCAACTTTTCATGAAAGAACCAAGCACATAGAACTTGATTGTCATTTGGTCCGAGACAAAGTACAATTGGGTGTCATTAACTTGATTCATATACCTTCTGCTGCACAACTTGCTGATATACATACTAAAGCCCTTTCTCCATCTGTTTTCCAGTCTTTCATATCCAAGCTAGGCATGACAGATTTGTATGCTCCAGCTTGAGGGAGGCTATTAAAATAGTTGAGGGAGGATATATCTTTCTGTTAGAGTAGGTAGTTATATTCTTTTGTAATTAGAGTCTTTATATAAGACTTCTCATTCAATAATAAAACAGATTCTGCTTCTGCAAAATTAACCAACACGTGCAGTCCATTTGAGATCATTCCATAGGGTTCAATCCAAGTACATGAACGACAAGAACAAAATTTGGCGTTCTTTTTTTATTAATTATTTTATTATCGGCGGTTTGCATGGGATTGTTTACGTGAGGACAATGTTAACAGTGTTTATATATATATAATCGTTAAGAATATAAATTAAAATATTCAACAAAATTAATATGTATTAATATTTAAATAATTAAAAAATAGTACTATATGGTACTTGTTAAGAAAATTAAGTCGTTTATATATAATATTTAGAAAATGAAATCTTGTCTTTCACAATTGAGGATTAATTCAAGGTCAATAAAAACCGGAATTTTGTTTTTGCTGAATAGAAATTTGAGGGAGAGGATGGCGCGTAGTCTAAAATAGGTAAAACCACTGAACTCAAAGAATGCTTGCGCAGACAGTGAAGAGTGTGAGGAAAAAAAAGGAGAAGTCAAAATAATTAAGATTACAGTGTATAAATTAAATTAATAATTTTGTTAATATATATGATCTTTTATGACACAAAAAAATTGTTAGCTTAAGTGATTTCACTTGATTACTTAACCAGTGACCGAGGTTAAGCATTTAATGATATCAGTCTAATATTAACTATTTTCTTAACTAATTTTAAAATATTTTAAAAAGTTTAATTTAACAAAATATTGATATATACACTACAACAAAATTTGTTAATAATGATAATTATTTAATGACAATAATTTAATTGTCGCTATTTAATTATATAATAAAAATATTAATGGCTAATATATAATAGTCACTAAAAATGTATTTATATTACACTAAAGTTTATTATTAGTGACCATTATTTATTAGAAAAAACTAGTCCCACATCGATTAGAGATAAAATAATTAAATAGTATATAAGTGAGTAATAATTATCACCTTATAAGTTAATTTTATAGGGTTGAGTTAGACTCTTAATTCACTATAATAAATTAGTATCAAATCACCTACTATTACCAAGTTCAATATATAAAACAATTAGAGAACAACTTTCACCTTATAAATCTCACATCTCTTAAGAGACAAGACAATTAAAAAAATAAATTAAAATTAAAAAATATATAAATAGAAGACAACTCTCATCTTATAAATCTCACGTCGACTAGAGATAAAAAAAAAGAGTATATAATTAAGTTATGAATTTAGAAAAGAAAATTATAGGAATAAATTATTTAAAGTTTTACTAGCAAAAGATAAAAGTCACTAAATGGATGGAAAGGAGACAATTGAAAAAATAACTTTTAATAGCCTTTAAAATGGCTACTAGAATTGCCACTAAAAAAAATAAGTTTTCTCGACAATTTAATAGTTCTTTACTGGCATTTTATATAAATGTCGGTAATAATATTAGCAACACTGGATACATCAGCCATTATTTAAATGCTAGTAAAAAAAATAATAGTCATTTATATAACCGCTAAAGAATAAATTAATTGTCATAAAAACCTAATTTTGGTGTAGTGATATGAACAAAATTAACATTTCTTCTATTCATTAATCACTTATCAAAATAAAACATTATTCTTATTTATAAAATTGAAGAATCTAATAGCAACATATATTGTTTTTAAACTCATAACCCGTGCAAGTATTTGATTCTCTTTATTATCTTACCGTATTCTTTGTTGTACACTTTTTTTTAAAGAAAAAAATGTAATAAATACAATTTGTCAAATAGAAATAAAGGCTTTCTCTTTAAAGAAAAAAGTCATTTCCCGATTCGCACGATGAATCGTTAAGAAGTAATTTCTCAGTTCTAACAAGAAAGGGATATGTTATGTTAGGTTTCCTTTCTAGTTTTACCTTGTATAACTATATGTATTTGTTGTATACAGTTTGCCTTGCAATAATCTCGTGAAAAACAGTGAATAAAAACCAAAAAGTTACTTGTTACAGGTAAACACTGTTAAGATTTGCACCTAAGCTTTTTAGGGAGTCAGAATGGCTTCAAGCACGCACGTCTAAATTCTTTTTATCCATCGGTTCATAATTCATACTGCACTGCACAGTGACCACGGTCGAACTTCAGAATCTTTAGCCCTTAAAGTGTGGGATTTATGGCCTTCAACTTCCGAGAAAAAATAGACAATAATTAGATCATTTTGAATTTAGAGTAACAATAACAACCTTTCACTCTTATTGTTCGTACTTTGACTACTTCCATTCATTTTTAACTGGATGTCGTTTGATTTCGTCCTAGAATCAGAGATAATGTTGGCATCTTAGTACGTACGGTGCCATAGTGCATAATATATTAACAAGTTTCTCACCTAAAGGCTTTATTACTGTGTATATATAGTAGGTAGACACGTTTGCAAATAAGTCCCAATAAAAAGTTCAAGATATAACCAAAGTACTAATTTTATAGTAATTGATCAAAGTTTCTAGGGCTCATCAACAATAGCTTTATTTTACCGTAGAAGAAAAAGAATGAGAAGAGTAAAAGAAAATATTGAAGAAAAAAAAATACCACTCCTCCGCTGAATAATAATCAACCGAAGAATAGAATAAATAAAGTAATACTTCACAAGATTCTTTCTCATATTAATTATATATAAACTTCACTACTTCTACCCCGTCTCATAGAAGAAAAGATTCTTTAACAAATTTTCTTACAAAAATTGTCGTGGCTTATTTATTGCCTACCAGCTTTTGTATTGCAATAGCTAGGTATCAGGTTTGCAATTAACATATTTTAACGAAAATTTAAAAATTACGTGAATGTTTGAATTAAGTTGTTTTAGAATATTCTTTTTACAGTTAAAGAAAACTAAGAGAAAACGATTATTTCTTAAATAAACAAACTTGCACCGCAACTAAATTAATAATAACTTACATACATACATACATGCTAATTAACTCAGACACATATATGATTTACTCAGAAGTGAATTAAAACTTGAATAATTACAAACTGAAACCAATATTAATGCAAGCTAGAGGGATATATAGTTGATAGTTGATGCTATTTTGATGAGGTTCAGCACGCAATTCCAACATTAAGTAACCAGAACTAGAACAAAGTGCCCCCACAGCACACCCTCAGAAACAAGCTAAACTTATTTGGTGGACACGACACGTACCCTATGTAGGCTGCTTTAGTAGTCTTTAGCACATTGTGGCACTACCATTTGTTGGTTGGTTCATTAATTCAACGTCTTCTGGCAGCAGTTTCCCTTTGAGCATTGAAAAACACAGCAGCCACAGGAGGCCCCAGGTCATTCTCCTCTGCAAAGTTTCTCGCGTTAAAGAGGTCCCTTGAACTTGGTATTTTCATCACTCCCTGCCTGCGCTTCTGCTTGAAAAGGAGGAACACAAACCTATGGATCCCTATGTTCGGCCTTGGATTTTCATACTTCACCACCTCAGTTCCTGCTCAATTATTTATTATTCATACATATAGGTTCAATTAATAACCCTTCAAGGGAATAAACATATTAATCTTAAAATAGAGCTCGAGATGTCTTCGACATAAATATTTAGATCCATTAATCATATAATTAAAATAGAATTCCTAAATGCAAAAACTGTCGCATTATAAATCAATTTTATCGGGTTATGTTAGATCTCCAATGTCATAAGAAATAATAATAATAAATAAATAAAAAGTAAATGAAAGTTATTCTGTGTGCATGTGTATCAGCTATAATAAGATTAAAGACCTTACCAAATGTGGCGTCCGTTGTGCCTGGGATATCTGTGACCATCCTGTGAGTTATTAAATAAATGGTCAGACACTTTGTTACAGACTGGTAACATATAGGAAAATGAAATCAACTATATATGGCGTATCTGAAACTCTTCTATATCCATGCGTTTCATTTCTTTTTCATATATACGCACTAAATTTAAATTAATTTGTTCTTGATTTTTATTATCCATATTGCTAATGAAGGTAGTTTACTCAATCCATTACAAGTCAAGAAAATTAATGTAGAGTGAAGGCCTAACTCTGCATGCAATATTTTCTTTGTATACATATATTATAGTGCATGTCATATATACCAGTGTAAGTGTTCCCTCAGGTATGGATCACTAGGGCCAGGGACATCTGGATCTGTCATGACCTGAAAAGAATTATCATGGAAATAGATATTAAAACTGTAAGATGAAAAGATCTAAGAGATACAACAGAAGCTGGGATTAATTTGGTGAAAAACTTTATAAGTACCAGAGTGAAGAAGGATCTCATATCGCCTTCATGAATCTGAACCTTAGGCTTAGTAGTTACTGAGGAGGGAAAAAACTCATGACCGTTGTAGACCTGCTTATTGTTGAAGGTGACAGTCATTTTCACAGTTGGAGTGAAATAATCCACTACATCTCCGATCACCCTACCAATAACAAGAGGATCTGATGATATCATGTTCATGGCCATGAATCTTAGTTGAAGTAATAGCCTCGGGAAGTGGGCGTGTTGGTTGTGAGCAACAAAATAGTTAATGTTGCTTTTAAGGGCTTGATGTGTGTGAATGATGTGAAGTACAAACCCTATATTTATAGTGTCGATTCCTTCAATACTTAATTAAGAGTCATATAGGAGACCGATTGACGAGGTAGGGGAAGGGAGAATTAAAGAATGGGGGAAAAAGTTGAAAAGAAAAACCTTATGAAAAGGCCCGAGTCACATCACATTTAAAAAATTATTGATAACATGTATAAAACAACATAGTAATTTTAAGGTTAATATTTTTTAATCATGTAGCTTACTTTTTAGTCACCTTACTTTATTTTTTGTCTTTATAATTTTAAATAATTTCTTTAGTATTTATATTTAACTTTATTAATTTTTTTAGTTTCTATATAATTTAAGATATACCCTTTTTAATAAATAAATAAATAAATAAAGTTAAAAATGCGTAACATTATTCCAATAATATTGACACCTCAAAGTCTATTATTTATTTGCAACACATCCAAATATATAAAATAAAACAAAACACATCAAACCAAAACTCATCAAAGAAAATTAATAAAATCTAAAAAAATAAAGACCACTACGATTACGAAAAACTCCAATAAAAAGAAAAAAAAACATGTCCTACCAAATAAAACTATTTCTATGAGCTAAACTATTATACACCACCAATCTATCATCACATTTATTATGATATACCTTTTCAATTCTTATACTATTATCTCTCTTTCTTTTTTTATTATTTTTAGTCTCTATCATTAAATTGTTTTGTAGTGTCCTTTTTTTTTTTTAATATGTTAAAGATCTTCAATTTTATCAGGTAAAAGAAAACAATATCTCAACAATAATGATGCGTTAAGTGGTGGTAAAAAGGAGATACAAATTAAGTATCAAGGAACTTAATTTAAGTAACTCTAATAAAATAAATTTGACCCTATATAAATAAAGTTGAATTAACATATTTGTTACGTCAGTAAAAAAAATGTTAAAAAAGAAATTATTGACAAAGACTAAAATAGTTAAAAATAATAAATGTAAGGACTAAAAAAAATATTTTAAACTAGATAAATTTAAACTTATTAAAAAAAATAAGTATAAACACTAAAAAAAATCTATTTTAAATTATAAAAACTAAAAAAATAAGATAAATAAAATTATAAATATTAAAAAAAATATTTTAATTTAACGAGAAAAATACTAATAACTGTCATTAGTCTACTTGTTAAGAAATCAAATGTATGATTTTTTTATAAAAAAAAAAACATGTAACAGTAGACTCTTCTATATAACTTTTATGTAGTTTTTAAGAAGAAAAAAAAGTTATATATTGATTCATAAGGGCAATCATAACGAAGATCCTCTTGGTAATAATATTTTCCTCAGACGTTCACACACACCTGAAAATATCACGTGAGAGTATGCGAAAAGCTAGTTTTGATCATATAAGTATAACCAAATAAAAGATCAATTTTTATTTTTATTTTTTATAAATCAATCATATCCATTCATCGTGTATAAGTGAAAGACATTACCTGTCACACCTTCATTAGATACCAGTATGTAGAAAGAATCTTATCCATCCACATATTTGTTTATACGTAGAAACATAAATTTGTATGGATATAAATAAAAATCAAATGACTCATACTATTGTAATGAACAAATAATTTTAAATGAACAAAAAGAACTTCGTGCCCTTTTTTAAATACATACATGTTAAGAGATTTAAATAAAAAAATCATATTAAAATATATTTTTTTACCTTTTATTAGATTATATTAAGTCAATTGTATTTTATTTTGATGAGCTGTAAATTAGTTATTTTAAAGAATTTGTTAAGTTGCAATTTTTTTCTGTTTTCTAAAGCCTCTTATCTCTCATCTCTATATATATGAGATGTATTTTCTTTCATTGATTCAATAACAGAGTATTGTTCAGCATTATCTTTCTATCATTAATTTTGCTTCTCTATTAACCCTTTATTAATTATTATTGTATAATTTTTTAAAGAGTTAAAAATGTCAAAAATAATATATACATGAAAATAAGAAATCATCTTTATATATTTATTTATCATTCATCAATCCCTCCTTACACCAAATCAACTAATATAGTGCGACTTTGAGCATTGTTAAGATAAGTGATCATTTTTAGGGCTCTATTTTTAGAGGTACTAAATTTTTTTTAATTTATATATAAATATAAAAAAATTATATAATTAAATTATATAAGAAAAATAGTATTATGAAAATAAATTAGTCAACAACGACTATTGAATTGATATGTGATGTTTCTATTTCTATATAAATATTTACTTGTAATTTTAAAAAAATAAATCGATGATATTAAATATAAGGAAGAAAGTGTGATATATAATACATTATGTTGTTGACTTATTTTCTTTAATTTATCTTATCCTATATTTCTCTTATTATTAATAAATAAGGATTACTTTGAATTTTCTTTCTTTCTCTTTATATATATACTCTTTTGATTCTTTCTCTATATTTTTAGTCATGATCTCTTTTTCTTTATTAGAATCTTAAAATCAAATTAAAAATTTCTATTTATTTGTCATTGCAAATTTCTTGGTGACATGCCACCATAATTACTTTTTTTTTTTTTTTACTTTCATTATAACAAGTTGAAAATTCAAGGTAAAGGTTTAAAAATAAGTAATAAAATGTTATTATTTCATGTCACATAATTTGAATCATAAATTATAATTTAGGTTTTTTTTGTTTATATTTGTCTAATTGTTTAAGTTTAAATATGTTGCACAAAAAATAACCTTCTAGTCATCTAAAATAGAAAAGAAATAAATAGATTGAAATTGATTCTCAAATGGGCATGCTCTAATAAATATTTTGTTAAACATCCTATAACTTTTATTCAAAATGATGCAAATCTAAATAAATATTTGTTAAAAATTTTGAGAATGAAGAGCTATATAAGAATAAAGAAGAGTTTAATATTTTAGTTGAGAATACTAAAAATGAGGATGAGTATCATGATAAAATCAATATATTAATGCTAAAATTAATATATCCATACTATACAACCTAACCAATATAATTCATTAAATATTTATGATATAATAATATGAAATAGATTTACAAAATGAATTACTAAAAAAATAGTACTAAAGGAGATATATTCATTCTGAATAGTTCTAAGAATATTTTTGATGTCATAAAAATTTTGTAATGAAAAAATATAAATACCATAATTAAATAATTAAAGATAAATTTTTAGTTCACTCAAAGCTTTAAAAAACTTAGGGTTGACTCTTAACTGGTACATAATTATTTCAACTCAATCGATAATATTAAGTTCAAGTATCAAATATATACATGCCTTAAATACTCAAAGTGAGAGTTTTATTGAATATAATAGTTTTATTTGTCTCAAACATGGATTGTTGGAGCATGGGGAGGTATTGGGTTCCATTCGTCAATATAGGATTTTGGGTGTAAGAATTTGACTCTTTTACCGATTAAAACATAATCAATTTTAAAAAAGTTATTTTACATAAATTTTATCTATAATCAATGTCAATTTTAACTGATGTTAACTATCACTATAACAAAATTTATTATTAACGACAATTATTTAATGATAATAATTTAATTGTCGCTATATATAAAAATATTAATGGCTAATATATAATAGCCACTAAAAATGTATTTATATTACACTAAAATTTACTATTAGCGACAATTATTTATTAGAAAAAAATTAAATCTCACATCGATTAGAGATAAGATAATTAAATAGTATATAAGTGAGTAATAACTATCACCTTACAAGTTTATTTTATAGGGTTGACTCCTAATACACTATTCTAAATTGGTATCAAATCACCCATTATTGCCAAATTCAATAGTGTTATAAAATAATTAGAGAGCAACTTTCACCTTATAAATTCCACATCTCTTAAGAGACAAGACAATTAAAAAATAAATTAAAAAATATATAAATAAAAGACAATATTCATCTTACAAATCCCACATCGAGTAGAGATAAAAAAAATATATAAGTTATGAATTTAGAAAAGGAAATTATAGGAATAAATTATTTAAAGTAAAGGAGACAATTGAAAAAAATAACTTTTAATAGCCTTTAAAATGGCCACTAGAATTGTCACTAAAAAAATAAGTTTTTCCGACAATTTAGTAGATATTTACCAGCATTTTATATAAATGTCAGTAATAGTATTAGCGACACTGAATACACCAGCCTTTATTTAAATGCTGGTAAAAAAAATAATGGTCATTTATATGGCCGCTAAATAATAAATTAATTGCCACAAAAAATTAATTTTGGTGTCACTACAACAAATTTTTTTATTAACGACAATTATTTAATGACAATAATTTAATTGTCCCCATATATAAAAATATTAATGGCTAATATATAATAGTCACTAAAAATGTATTTATATTACACTAAAGTTTACTATTAGCGACAATTATTTATTAGAAAAAACTTAAGTCTCACATCGATTAGAGATAAGATAATTAAATAGTATATAAGTGAGTAATAACTATCATCTTACAAGTTTATTTTATAGGGTTGACTCCTAATTCACTATTCTAAATTGGTATCAAATCACCCATTATTACCAAATTCAATAGTGTTATAAAACAATTAGAGAGCAACTTTCACCTTATAAATCTCATATTTCTTAAGATACAAGACAATTAAAAAAATAAACTAAAAAATATATAAATAAAAGACAACCTTCATCTTACAAATCTCACATCGAGTAGAGATAAAAAAAAGTATATAAGTTATGAATTTAGAAAAGAAAATTATAGGAATAAATTATTTAAAGTAAGGGAGACAATTGAAAAAAATAACTTTTAATAGCCTTTAAAATGACTATAGAATTGTCACTAAAAAAAATAAGTTTTTCCGATAATTTAGTAGATCTTTACCAGCATTTTATATAACTGCTAGTAATAGTATTAGCGACACTAGATACACCATCATTTATTTAAATGCTGGTAAAAATAATAATGGTCATTTATATGGTCGCTAAATA